GGTCTCCTCAATTCAATTTGGATTACCAACGCACACCTATGCCCACTTTTGTCCCCAGTCTCGAGGCTGTTTTGTGACTGAATTTGAAATCATGGTCCTCAGTACCACTCATTTCGACGCACGCCACGCCCACTGTGGGCGGGGCTCCGCTTAGGTAATGTATGTTTTTTACTTCTCGAGATATGGTACACCCATCCTTGACCTGGACCCAGTAGGTTGTTGTCCGCTTAATACGGAATTTCGTGACAGACGGACAGACAGACAGACAGACTTAGCGCATTATATATAGTAGGGATAATTCAATAAGCGATGTAGAGGATGAGGAAAACAGTAGCGCAACCTTACTTGGAGGTTTTCCATCAACATGACGTGGATTTCATTTCTCTAAGGTTTCTCTCGTAACAGCCCATCCAGAATCCAGCGTTGATCCGTTTGACACAAAGGGAGATACCTAAAAAGTGACGAATCACTACATCAAAGTAGCCAAAACGAGATTAAGAGGAAAGAAAGTGTTTAGAGGCCAACTTTAGACTGCTGTCTACTGTTACCCTAACCTACCAATTATTTTTTATACGGCTGAAGATTTGTTTTTCATATTTGGAGGATCTCAACTGAAATTTGTTAAGGTTCACAAGTTCTACATGACAAGCTTGGACTGAAAAACTTCCATAACAACGCGTCAGAAACTGTCCTATCTTATTTACAGTGTCCATGTTTCATGTTTCATATCCTCGTAAAAAATATGGAATCCAAGCTGCTTTTCACACTAAACACTATCATTTACAATATTCAGACATTTCTGCAAACTAACACAATCGCTTCGAACCTGAGCAAAACAAAGTGCGTTAAAAAAGTCTTTCCATTAGAGTAAGCTCCTCTGAAGTTATGTGGATCATGAGGAAAATTGCCACGAATGCTGAGACAAAATAACCGCGCCATGTCTCTAATTAGTCCTAGCTCGTATACAAAGAGATAGCTGGCTAGGAAAACCTCGCCATCGCTATGTAAGATCTCGAAAAAAGTGTCTTTCATGTATCAAATTTTGTAGGGAATCCCTGGTTGGCGGCATTGACGTTAAAGCGTTCGAATTTCCAACGCCTTCCTTTATCATTAGCATTCCCCTGCTTCGTGACGCGTGTACATCCACAGTTAGGACAGGGTCTGGCTTTCCATAGCAGTCCTAGCTCAGCCAACCAGCTGCCGAAGTTCTCCTTCGACTTCACCTTGAGCTCCGGCCATGTAGTAAAGATCGCGAAAGCGCGGAGAGTGAGCAAGGCAGCGGCCACCGGCCCCTTTGATATAGAATGATACGATAAGGGCAAAGGTGAGTTGTAGGGATCGCAGACCGCTGCCTCAGTTCGAAAAGACAGTGCTTAGTGCCTTCAACGCTTCGATTATATATGAGAGCCTTTCCGCAACTCCTTATCCTACTATACAGGGTTGGCCAAAAAAAGAGACACTTGCATTGCTCGGCTTTTAACACTGAAGTAATCAAACTTTATTGAATTCTGACTGAATATTACCACCTGCAAAATCAACAACGCATTGCACACGATCACGAAATTCCTCGATGGCCTTCCGCACGAACGAGATCGGAAGCTTTTGCCACTCGAACTCGGTGCCTCGTCTGAGGTCGGCGAGATCGGCAACTTCTCTGCCTTCGTAGACAGTCCTGTTGAGTTCTGCCCACACCCTGTAGTCGAGTGGGTTGAGGTCAGGTAATGCACTTGGATATTCTGTTTTCTTGAGGTATTCAACTCCCACCGAATCCAAAAAGGCGAGAGTTTTCCGAGCTGCATGTGCCGGTGCCCGGTCTTGCTGCAGCACAAATCTTCCATCACGATACAGACTGCTGCATGACGGCAAAATGTCGTCTCTGAGCTGCCTGATATAGTAGTCGGCATTTATCTTCAACCCAGGCTCCACGAACAGTAGCTCCGTCTTTCCATTCCATGAGGCACCCGTCCAAACCATCAGACCACGCTGGCTGGTAGAGCGTGATGACTTCGTCGACTTTCGGCAGGAGACGCTCACAGCACTCCGCGCGATTCTTCCGTTGCTTGTCGTTGAGGCAGTGGACCCGTACCTGAAGAGTGATGATTAAACAAGCCGCGGACATCGAGGAGCTGACCTTGGACACCAGTCTGAACCCTCGTTTCTTCAGAATGCGTCAAACCGACGTCCGTGGAATTCCAGTGCGCCTGACGATGAGGGTCGCAGCAAGGGTCGGGTCGTCACCCACGATATCGTAAACCATAGCTGTCGGAGTTGCACGACGTCAGCGGTCTTCCAGATCCGAGCGACGATGTCCAGGAGTCTGTCCGTGAGTTACTCGATTGAGGAAGTTGCGAAGCTGCTTGTGGCCAACTGATATCCCATAAGTCTTCTTGAGCGCGTCCGCAGTGGCAGACGGCTTCATATTCTGATGCCGATATAGGAACTAAACGAGTTCTTACTTCTTTTCATCAAGCAACATTCTTGGTTTAATTTACCCACTGACATACTCCCGCTGCTTTAATCTGTGCGACGTATTCCGCCCTGGATTAGGCCCCATGCAAAGTGTCTCTTTTTTTTGGCCACCCCTGTATATAATCGGCTAAGCGGTTGTGTGTGTGTGTCTGACCGGAAATTCATAACTTCACTCCCTTTGGACCCAGAGCGCTCAAACTTCTAGGATATATAGGGGGTGGGCGTGAACACTGATGATGGGTGGCGGGAAGTGATAACTACTGATAGGAGCTGATAACGGACGTCGAAATGTTGATGTCACCAATTTCGTTACGCCGTTCGCGTTGACGGTGGAGAGTTTGCACTCATGTATGATATGTGGGGTGAGGCGGGGACCAAGAAGTTGAGTGAACGAATGTGGTAGCAACTGATAAGAACTGATAAGGGGCGTCAAAGTGTGGATACCACCAGTTTCGTTGCGGCCCTTGCGGTTACATTGGAACCTTGGCTCTCACATGTGGTATAGGGGATGGGACGGGAACACGGATAGTGGATGATCAAAAGTGATAACAAGCGATAACGGTTGATAAGGAAGTTAGGATTTTGAGTACTGCTAATTTCGTTGCAGCCTTCGTGGTGACAGTAAATATTAGCTCCTACACGTTGCCTGGAGGTTGGGACCGGGACACCGATTGCGAACAGTATGAACTGATAACAAATGACAAGGAATGATAAGAGCGTTGAATGCAGGTCTCTCCAACTTCGTTGCAATTATCACTGGCAAGCGATCAAGGTGGCGAGGGTTGAATGTAGGTGACAGAAAGTGGTATGAGCGGCAACTGTACTGATAAAAGTAGCGACAGTTGAGCGTGCACTCAGTTGAACTAAACCAGGTCCCTAGCACGTGAATATGTTCCATTCCTACCCTTTCATCTAAAGAAGCAAAGAAAGTTGAGCTGCTCAACTATCTGGACTTGGACCAATAGCGAATTTCCATCATATTTCCAATTTCCATCATGGTTAGATGCTGATTGATTGGTTATATTTCACTTACACACCGATTCTTCAATTGTGGAAATTCTATAAACCGCTAAATCATCCGAGCTCGATATCAATGCTAAATGTTTACGAAGTCATGATAAGTACATTTTCATTCCGCATGCTACTGCGCGCATTACGCTACAATCTTCAGCGAAAATTGGACAACCTTTGAACATTCATGTGACACATCTTCCAAACATCTTACTGTTAGTTTCTCAGCCACGTGACCTAATATTCTGCAAGTTGTCCAGTTTCACTAAAGCCTACCATGTGATGCGCGCGGTTGCGTGCGGAGCTAAACTGGTTGATTATATATGAGTGGCCTCCCGAACTACATTTTCACCGGATGTAGTTTACTAGTTGCTGTTGTGCGCATGCACAGTTCTGAAGTTCTCAGCATGGTACGCACTATAATGACTTAATAAACTCATTCCATGAAACAGGGGGGGGGGGCGAAAACGTAGCCATATCCTTCAGCTTGTAAATAAAGCTCAAATGGCGACCCAATACTGAATGGAATGCTACCGGATTCTGAAGCGTTCTGTATCCTTCTCTGGGTCACTAAATAAAGAAATAGAGAAAACTGGAGAGCAAATGCGACTTTTTAACACCCCTTAGCAAAAAAATACACTGACATTCAACCAATCTAAATGACATTTACAGCTCATCAATTAAGACTGCCAACGTACGCTCGATTGGTCGAATGGTGCACCCTACTGTAGCATGAATAGAATGGATTCAGCAAAACCAGAAAAATTCTTGGGCAGAAAAGGTCGCCAGCGTCCAATGTGGCCTTGTTCATTTTACTTGCCGTGAACTGCTTGTTTTAGCCATAAGGCCGCATGTTAAACCCTTATTGCTCTAAAGTGATCTCTGCTTTTGAGAGGCTTTAAAATACTCTGAGGGGAAAAAAACAGAAAACAGGATGGTAAAGTCTCCACTCAAATCCTTTAGTGGAATGTGTATCCTGTATTTGCATTTCCGTGATGGAAGGGTTTAGTATGTGCAGATTTGTGTAAACAGCTGTAATTAGCGCTCAGGGATTCTGCACTACGATGCACGTTCATTGACTCTTTGATGGTGTGTTTAATTGTCGACACTCAAAACCGTCCGCTCTTTTAATTCAGCTTATTTGTTCAGACTCCTTGTCACATGCATGAGAATTAGGAACATTTTCGAGATCTCAGTTTATTTTTTCACATAACAGTTTCCGATCGGCGTCAATTCAAACTGCCACAACTCATTTGGAGAGACAAAAGATCGTTTATATTCACGGTTCTACATCTCTCGAAGGCTTCTTTAGTTTCAGTTTCCTATTACTGCAGAGCGCAACTTTGACGAATTATTGTTAAGGGGTACTTATTGTTGGTTCTTGCTTCAACACTTATTTGGCAACTTAATCTGCTCCGTTGCCAGAAATGGCTCAACGCAAGTGGGTTCGCTCACCACATGCATGGGCAGAGGATCAAACCCCGAGTCAAGCCGCCAGTGCCTTTAATTCGCCGGATCCGGTTAATTTGTACCAGTCTTTTCTGCAAGGACTAACATTGACTTGCACGCCGGCTGGTCCAGCTATTCATTTTGTGAGACAAGTAGCATACAAGTGGATGATTCCGAATAGAAGTGAATGGGTGGGCGAGGTGTTTCCCAAAGGGCCAGAGAAGTCTGAGTCGTGAAATAGATGCTCAATGACGAGTTTGCACCTCGGCAGAGCAATTGAAGCAGACAGAGAAACAACTGAGTGCAGGTATGGAACTGAGGCTAAGTTGTGTCTTCAATTGCCACTAGTTGTGTAACGCATCCACACTGCTTTGCAGCAATTCTCAACAGCCAAAGATTTATTGAGGGGGACAAATTATCCCACCCAGATCATAAGTCATCGGTTTATGATTTTGGTCCTGCTTTGCCCGGATTCTCATGTTGGTGACTTATACTGGTAGAAATACAATGTGGGACTGAAAAGAGTTCAAATGAAGGCAACGTTGAGCGATCGTGAAAAAAAGCACACAGAAGTTCCAGACGGCAATGTTGCTGAAATAATCCTTACTGAATTGGGACACGCCCTTCCTCACTCTCCTCACCTGGATCAGAATATTAAGCAATGCCTCGTAACCGAGGCATAGGGAACAGAGCAACTTTGCAGAATTTGCTCCAGTGCAAAGCATCTGCCCAACTCCATGGTTAGGGTTCTTTGTAGGCAGCTTTCTGCAGACCGCGTTCACGTTTCACCGTGGCATCAGCCAACATCCTGTTGCACAACATATGTAGCTTGCTTACAATTGCACACACAAGTTAAGGGCTCACTGCTTTTGTGGTAAGGCAATGAGAGACTGAGCACAAAGGAGAAACGATCAGCGAGAGAACTCTACGGATGAGGGAGCGCAGATACCAACGAGTTAAGGACGAGAGAGCGATCATTGTTATCAGACCTTACCAGGAAGGTCTTTCAGGGCGTGACGAAGCTTTTTGAAAACGGTCTTTTGCATGATATAGGGGCAGATGCGGGAACCACAGAACCATGTTTAATTTTTCCTGAACGGCCCTCTGAATACCAGAAAAGGGGGTCCCTAGTTCGATTCCTCTTGGTGACAAATTTTTGCATTTCGAGTTGACGTTCCAAAATTCGCGCAAAATGGAGTTCTGATTGTTCTGGTTGGTTCTAACTCCATTTTGCGCGAATTTTGGCACGTCAACTCGAAATGCAAAAATTTGTTACCACGAGGAATCGATCCATCGTCGCGTTATTCCGAGTCGGGCGATCTAGGCATCTGCGCCCTTCGCTAAAGCTCTATATTACCAACTGAACAAATTCGCTCACACGAACTCACCCTCTGTGCGGCCGCAAGCCTACAATTTCTTGGTTTTCCTTAACGTACTGTTCAACACATAATCCCTAATGTACATTTTATGCCCATCCTGTTGTTATCACAGTGGGAGCTACGCTTAATTCTTATTGTTGAGAAACAGCTCTGGATTTATGAAAGGAGAATGCACAGAGAAGGAGATGCAATCTCTCAAAAAGATCACGCTGAGCAAGATAGTTCGTTACTGATCAACATAAGTCAAATGCTTTTAGGGTGTTCGACCATAAAGTTGACAGAAGTTGCTGACGAAGAGGATTGCTTGCGCAGGCTACAAGTGCAGTATAATTACAATATGATGGCAAAATATTTGCGCCCCATCCTTGTGGGCCAGAACTGGACATTGCTAAAACAACGTTAACACGCCCGTCCGCGCATCAGTTATGAACTCTAGTTCGACATGGCAGTGAAGGAGATAACCACGTTCTGGCCTTGTGGGATAATTCAACTGATGCTAAGCTGGAAACATAGTGGCCATTCTTGTTAAGACTAGAATATGACATAGTACCAGGCGCCATGCTTGCAAATTTCGATCTGCTAAACACACACCGATTTCTGCCGAGCCCAACCGTTCTATAATGGGTCTTTCTGACGATAGGTTTCTTGAAAGCCACTGGATCGATAGTGGTTTTCTCATATTTCATACGTCTACGAAAACTAATGTGGTGTGAGGAAGGTTGGATGTTCAGTCACACTCACTACTGGGCTTGATAATCATGTTGGGGCGTTGTCATTGCTACCCCATGTATTCTAGACCTTGAGCTATTCAGCAAACGCTAGAGAGCTCCCCTGGATCATGTGAGCTCAGTCACGAACATCCTCCTGATCGTTCAATGAAGTGCACCATTCGTTACACATTTTTCAATACTTCTTTTCAGTAGCGCCTCCATTTCGATTTAGTGATTTATAATCCCGTTTCGTATTAGCTAAAAACAACATCCATCAGACGGAGATGAGAAAGCTACGGTTCAGGGAATTGTATGCAAAAAACTATTGCAACTTTGAAATCTGACTACCCATTTGGGCCTGACCTCGAATGTTATTCTCGTAATTATAACTATTTGGCATTCGTGAACTTTTCCTTAGAGATACAATGGAATGGTGGAGGTTTCACTACTGCTCTGCAATATTCGACATGCCGGAAGGAAATTGAAGGAGCATACTATATACATAGATAAAGGATAAAGCATTTGCCGTTGATCAATCCCTTTTTGGGATGCGGCACGCATTCTACTTCCATTTGTACATTCGTAGTGGCGTTTGAATGCGATGTGGCCTATACAATGACTTGCGGGGGCCAGCCGATGTACAAGTCAGTGTTTTTATCCTCCCAGACAAGTCTGGTACCAATTAACCGACCCCGGAGGGATGGAAGGCTTGGTTGGCCCGGGCGACTCACGACCCAGGATTTGATCCCCGGACCGCTCGCGTGGTAAGCGTGCCACTTGCCACTACACCACTTCCGCCCGCAGAGAACATACTAGAAGCGTTCCGAGACCATGTGTGTGTCAACTGCGACCTCGAAGAAGCAATAAGATTTTGTTATGGGGTAACTGGAAATTTGGCCTTACAAGTTGGATGCCATTGAGTTCTTATTGGTGATCCATGAGGATAAGCTGCACTTGAGGAATAGTCTAATTCACTTGTCGAGTTGCCTTTAGTGAAGTTCCCAGTGTAGTCACAATTCATAGAAGATTCATGGGAATGCATTTGAACACTTTGACGTTTCTCAAGATGTGGTACTGAAATTAGATGTGTGAACGCTAAGTGAAAATTCCGAAGTTCGTGCTCGTATGTACTCTACTGATGACGATTATGCGAGTTCCTTGGGCTACTCATTGCTGCCTGTCAAATCTTTTTCAGAATATGCTGGTTCATCTAAGAAGGTTTTGGTGGCATATTGTTGTATTAGGACTAGCCTTGGTACGTTGAAAGCTTTCTTATACTTCTGTACATAAACCTTAATTTTCGTCCAAGGAGCCTAAAGGCACATCTGTGACTAAGTTAGATCACTCAAGATATTGCACAAGAAGGCTAAAGCTTTTCATAGGGGAAGAAAAGGTGCCGTTCCAGTGTTATTTGGAAATGTTATTAAAGATCACGCAACACCATGTCTGCGTTTCACTCGCTACCAGCTTTCTCTTATCTCGTTGTTCTTGACGCCCAGTGGTCACAAAGAGACCCTCGGTTCCACTATTTCCGTTGTTCCACTATTCTCTTTCTTTTGCTTTTTCTATCTGAAGGCCCCCTCTCCTGCACCGCTTTTTGTTTTCATGTTTCAGTGCAAAAACCATATCTGCCTGATTGTGGGATGTGTATTCATTTCAAAACAAGCAGGAAGGTAAATTCTGCCGTATCGCAATGCACTGCGAATATCTGTGAATCACAGCAGATCTCTTTGCATCTTCAGAGTTGAAAAACATTGTTCGACAAGTTCCGCACACTCGTTCCGCTCAAAATGCTTCTTGACCTTGAAGGAATCCTTCGCGGAAAATTCTTGCATTCTTTCTTGACATGAATGTGTCAGTTGTGATCACTGGAAACAGCACACAAAGTTTCACGCATGAAGATTCGGTTTCCGAAGAGAAACAAACGTACAAAAACTACACTCTATGGACAATCGAAGGTAATTCGGGCGGAGCCAAAGGCGAGGCATGGAAAGAAGTTGGCCTTTGGCCGGCTACGTATCAGGCGACGCAATGAAAGAATCGGGTTAAAGCGCGCGATTTCGGAGAGTAGAGACAAATCGATCGATAGAATAGGATGGAGTAGAAGTGTAAGATGTGAATGCAATAAAGCAGAAGGCCAGAAAGAGTTTCTCTAGTGAAGGCACTCCAAGAACCAAGTGGAAGCATCCCGTCGCCAGCATTTGTGAAAGATGTCCGGCGGGCACTTTGAACGCGTAGCAGCCCTTTCGATTTTTAATTTCGAAAGCAATATTTCTGTTCTTTTCATTCTTATCGTGGATAATGAGTCTCAAGCCAGTGATTTATGGCTGAAATAGAATCATGATTTTTCCGCGAAGGATTTCTTTAAGTTCCATTTGCGAGAGTCATCCAGGATGGACCTTACGTTAGTGTGTCTTTATTACAAATGCGATACAGAGATCTAGTCGCAGAACTTAAACTCGTGACAACTACACACTCATGTCCTATGCCGCACAAGCTGTGAAGCTGCGTAGGGTTATTTCAAAACGCCCGTGCATTTGGTGTAAGGATAGCTGAAGTATTATTCATCAACGCTAACCACTCTGACAATTAAGCAATTTCAAGGATCGTTTCATAGATCTCAGGATCTTCAGAATCGGAAAGCTCTAACAGCTTTTACTTAATCCCGCAGACGCTACCTTTGTCACCTATCGTACACAACCAGAGTTGCTGGTAGCCTTTCCGCCTCAATTCTTGGTGAAGCATAAAGAGTCTCAGGCTCCACTGAGTATATTTATGTATATGAGTGTAACGAGCAAATAATTTTGCTACCATTTCAAATCATCACAAGGGTAACATGGACAGGTTACATATTGGAGCGCTCGTGAGATGACATGCAATCAGATTCCACCTGAACCACGAAAAAACGTCGCGAAAATTACGGCAATACATATACTAATCATCCTGAGGACTACATCAGCCCAATACATCGTGTAGCGCGATGACTGGAAAGTGCGGAAAAGTTAGAGATCGGTGGCTTCACATGATCAGCTGAACCACCATTAGCTCTCTGCCAACCAATCATTAGCTCTCTGCCTTTAGAAACTGCCCTCCCGGTGGCATACGGTTGGTGGTCCGTCCTTCAGATTAGATGATGCTCTTCTTGTGACAATTCTTGACGAGCGGCTGCTCTTTATGACCCAACAGAAACATAGACGACTTCGAAAAGGGTCGATCCTAATTCTCAAAAAAGCGACGCTTTAACACTTGAGAGCAGAGAAAGCATTTCGTTTCAGTATGTGGGAATACTGTATAGAGGCAGCTCTAGCACACAGACCACCCCAACAGTCACAATTACAGAGGGAAGGAAAACCAAGGACATTAAGAGCTTCATTCTCAAAGAGGTAAATGTTCTACGAAATATTCCTTAAAGTCTGACGACCGACGAATACTTTAAGGAACGACGACTGATAGAGACGTATTGTGAGGAATCAACAGATCTGTGTTTCTCGGTAGAAGACCGCCCAATATTGGAGAACAACAAGTAAGGCACATGCCCCTCCCAGTGCACTTCCGTTTCCTGCTTGTCAAATGAAATCTCCCTGCGCCCTTGACGCTCTGCTAGTGTTGAAGTTTTCCCTGAGAATATCTCGAATTCGTTTTAAAACATACTGCTTTCAACTCAGTGATATTGTTAAATAATTAGTATTTTGATTTAATTCCACTCAGATTTTATATTTTGTCCTTTGTATATGCAGACCACAATGACCAATAGGGTAGTCCTTAAAGGAACATCCCACGATCATAATGGTGTGACCGTTGCAGATGAACATGAACAGCTAGTGAAAAAAACAAAAAAAAAACAGTGAGAACACCAAAATAGGAGTCTTCCTTATTTGCGAAGTCGACCGTACTGAGGGAGGATAGATTTGCTGTGAAGAGAAAGAATACGCGAAAGGGCAAACCACATAGGGGGACGCAGGCACACCGCATGTTGCGGAAAGAAATATCAAAGCGGTTCAAGCGTTAATAGCGAGACTCCACTTGCTGCGTGTATTCGTTTTGCGAGAACGGATCATGTGTAGTTCCGGCGGACAGCTCGTATCTTACCTAACGAAAGGATTGATTCAGAAGTCGTCGTGCGGTATGCCACAAAATCAAAGCTCATACATAACTTTTCAGTTTGATTGTCCAACGGGTCTTGGTTTACAAGGAATCTCAGCGATTCAGTGTTTCAACCGTTGAACTGGAAACACCGCAAGGTTTGCCTTCGTTTGATATGAATTGATTTAATCCAGTTGAGTTTGACCCGCCATGAATCTTGTGATTTTTGCTCTTTGCAGCAGTAAATAACATGTGTCATGATATGAGCGTTCATTAATCCAAAAACTGAAAGAAACACTTTGAGAATGGGTGTTGTACCGAGCGAAATAGCATTTGCCACTACGCACGAGAAGTATGCGTGCCGCATCCCAAAAAGAGATTGATCAGTACGGATGCTTTGTACTTTTTTATCCCTCCCTGATGAGAGCTGACCAATTTGCGCGCTATGTACATAAAGGTAGTGATGTCATGAATTCTACGCCCAAAACACGTGGAAAGTTCTAAGCTCACAATATACCGCCATCCCTCACTATGACTTTCCAATCTTCGCCACTTTTTCTTTCTCCCCAGCCAGTCGGAAAGGACGGGAAAGCGGACAGTAGTCATTCGTGAATACTACGATGCCCATTCCTAAGACCACTTCGAAAATTTACGGTGTCGATCCAATAGACTTTCTACGTATAGCGATGGTAAAAAAAATCCTCCAAGTTTCGAATTCAGAGAGAAATATCCTGGCAAGTGATTAAAAATTGCTTAAAAATTGCTTAAAGTTGCTAATGGTATAGTGTAGCTGACAAAAATTTTTCTTATGGTCTCTGGTAATTCTTGCAGAGCTCACATGGAAAAATTTCAACTCTCGTCAGTGGTCCGTCAACAAGTTGGTCGTTCATAATTTTTATACTCGACTCATGATTGCAATGGGTTTTGTGATGGAGGTACTGGACTGGATTCGCGTTTTCTTTATTCCGTAATGTTTTAAAAAAGTCTTTTCTATCATCTTTTCTATCAATCTGATTCCAGGCGTTGAAGTTTGATCCGATAGATTGGCAAAACGTTCTTTTGATTGGTCTGGGAGGCGGAACGCAGAACAACTTTCTCAGTGCGGTGGATTTCATAAAGGTGTTTTATCCTTCTCAGTTGATTCCATATCAACAAAATATATATGATGGCTATCTTCTTATGTTTTGAACTACGCTCTTGTTACATTAAAGTACGGCATAAAGGCAAGTGTAAAACTTGAGAACGAGTGGGGCTGAAGACACATTCGGCTGCATTTCGATTCTCCGGTCTCGAATGAGGGGTCCATTGCGCGTTTTCATGTTGGCTACAGCTGCCTTGGCGAGCCTTTTGTGATTTTCAGAGGCAGCGATCTCCTTTGGGCTTTCTGGTTTTCTTCCTCACGACTCGAACTTCTCCACTCCAAAATCACGCTGCTTCTCCCCTGCCTTCGCGTCGTTCTTCATCCAACACTTTCGTGGCCCATTGCAGGATGACTTCGGTCTCTGCAATATTGCTGGATTAATTCCAGGAATCCAAGAAACCAGATTCCAGTATTTCGTTCGAAGCCATCCTTCTACTTCTTCCACCACCGCACTTTCCCTTCTTTTTTCTCTTCTTCCGCTGCTGACGTCGCCATTTACTTAGATAACCTGCTTTGGTGAGAAGGTCACAGGAGTCACACCGATTGGTCAGATTTCGTATAAGATTTCTCGTATTCTAGAGAATCGGCTTACGGTGCGTACACGAGTAGTATTCTCCAGCGCCCCTCCTGCTCATCTATCTTCACAACCATGATTCGATCGCTGATCCTATCAAGCAGAGGCGAATATCACACAAATGCTAAAGACCACATCATTTCGTTTGGTGCTTCTGTAATACTCTTTGACATTTGCCACTTTGCTAGCCTCGGCTCCCTTCCGACGCGTTTTCTGGAGCTCTTTCTGCTGCGCGAACTGATACCTGCCTTAGCAAAGATGGTGTCTTTAAGGCACGCTCCGCGATTAGGCGCGCTCGCCCTTCCATCCAGGGGTAGTAGGCAGGCGGACAAGTGTTGTTGTCGCACCCCTTTTGCCGCTTGAAAGTGCGCGCCAAAGGCACCGGCTGCTGCTTGAAAAGCGCGGGCGCATTTGAGGCAGCGGTCCCACCGCGACCCTGTGTCATTGGCACTGGAGCAACTAGAGTTAGGTTCGTGAAACTCGTCCAACGCGCCTCTCTCCCAAGGTGGAATGTGGCTGAAATAGGGGAGGTCTCTGTACGGGGCGTAATCGGTGGTTTCGTTTGCTTTCCTTCTCTTTTATAGACCACCTCCCACCTCTAGCTTCATGAACTGAACGCTTTTCCACACCTATTTTATCCCGAATCTTGCCTTTAACCTTTGAATGCGCACAGGGACCCAACACCCTTACTTACTCGACTAACCCTGCCTCCAGCCTTCGAAAAGGATCAAAGGGTGCAGCGTTCTAAAAAGGACGTTCGTTTAAAAGATGTATCAGCGGCCTAGCGTCCACATTATTTATTATATCAGAATTTAAGCAATCCAAAGTTGATGAGCGATGGCAAAATTTAGAGGACACTAGTTGAAGGCGAGCAGGAAAAGGTCCAGTGTGTTCCTTGGCATTAGTATTGACAAGGTTTTCATATTTGCACTTGAGGTAAACCTTACGACAGTAGAACTGAGCCCATTGATGGTGACTATCGCAACGGATTGGTTTGGATTGCTGGAAACGCGAACCAATAACGTGTTTGTGGAGGATGGAGTGAACTTTCTCCTTGGAGCTGTTCAACGCGGTTTGTTTCTTGCCATCACACCCATCAAATTGCTGGCTTTTACATTTTATGCTCTAAACTGCGATCACTACCTCTTGATTCGATCTCGATTAAAGGACGAATTCACGATGAAAAAGCAACCCATTTCAAATTAACCTAGGGATGGTGAGTGGTACACGAAAGAAGGAAGAACCATGAGAAACGGCCCAGAACCCGAGAAATGGGACCCCTTCCTTGCCCGTTGATTTGAGCATTGATGCGACTCTCATCGCTGTGCCCTCTTCAACACTACGCTCTCTCAGCTATCTAATCACTCGCCACGTATTGAACTACGGCGAGTGATCAGATGATCGGTGGGCGGAGATCGCCGGACCCGCCAGCTTTGAGGCATGATAGGTCGCCGAGGTCAAATTTTTCCATGCGAATTGCGCGTCAGTTCGCACCCTCAGGAGGTCCGTGGGTCCCTCAACTAGGTCAGTTTCCCTTTCTTCGACCTTCATTCTAATCGTGAATTCCTCCTTTAAGAACTCGTAATAGCATTTCACACGGACGACATCCAAG